TTATGTTTCATATTAGCTTCAACTTTGCCTAAGTGTTGCTTTTTCTCCAGATGGTGTAGTGTTATACACAAATCTATTAGTCATTCCATTTACTCCACTACATTGAAATAGCAGTCTACCCTCCTAGAACAGTAGATAATTAACTCTTTAGAAATAAAGCTAGTATTTTGCCAGACATAGAGCTCTTTCTGAATGCAAAGCAAGCAGACATGTATGGGGATTACTATAAAATATTGTCAACAAGATCGGTTCTTGTAACAAAGACGACATGTTGGGTCAGAAAACAAATTCTAATATATAATATTTCTCTGATGGCATAACAACATCATTAATAGTAATTTGTATTACCATAATGCATAAGTGCCCGAGTCATGGATCAGAGCCCCATTGTGTTAGGCACTATACAAACACAAAACAAATAGACAGGCCCTGCTCCAAAGAGCTTGCATGTAGATATGGGCAAAATATTGTGGAAAACATACTCTGACCATCCTGAATATTTTCCCATTTTTAAAACTGAACCTCCATTCAATCCCAGGCTCTGAATACAACTTCCCCTACCTCTGTACACTCCCCAGATTCCAGAAGGGACTGAAACAAGAAGTGCCATAATGGAACAAGATAGTCTGCTCTCATGGTAACTCCATCTGAAAAGGGAAGTGTAAGGCATTGTGTATATGTGCTTATGAGACTTTACATGAGGTTAAGGTACTTTAGATAAGCACTGGAACTGAGTGCTTATATAATCCAAACCCAAACACTGAGCATTTCAAGTATCCCTTCATCAAGGTTTAATATGTACTCATAGACTTTAAGGTCAGAAGGGACCATTTTGATCATCTAGTCTGACCCCCTGCACAATGCAGGCCACAGAATCTCACCCACCCACTGCTAGAATAATCCTCTCACCTATATCTCAGATATTGAAGTCCTTGAAATGATGGTTCAAAGACCCCAAGATGCAGAGAATCCTCCCGCTAGTGACCCGTGCCCCATGCTACAGAGGAAGGCGAAAAACCTCCAGGGCCTCTGCCAATCTACCTCAATCACTGTATCACATTGACCTGTACACCTGCAGAAAATATATACAGTTGCTATCAGGATCTGAGCAGGTTCAGAGGGGATCCAGTGGAACTAGAAGAGCTGTGAATCTAGGACCTTGTCTATTCCTACCTGGAGATTGATCTTCCAGGGTTTGATTTAGTGGGTCTAGTAAGGACCTGCTAAATCGAACACCGATGGCACTCTCATCAACCCAGGTAGTCCACGGGGTTGAGGGGAGTAAGGGAAGTTGACAGGAGAGTTTCTCCCATTGACCTCCCGCAGGGGGGCCACTGGAGATATTTGATTTAAATTATATTACTCTCACAGTGTAGACCTGGCCTAGGTTCAGTGACAAAGGGATATTGTTAAACCAAATCCATGACCTAACTGGCTATCCTTCCCCTCAGTGAGCCCTAAGGGGATAGTTGGATATTAATGAGAGAGGAACTTGCCTCCAATCCCACATCAGAGCCTAATACTGAGCATCCAGTCATCGCTCAGGGCAAAGAGAACAGGCTAAGTCTGATCAGCAGATAGCTACTAGTGCACAGCTTAGAAATGGCAATAGAAGTGGACATGCTAAAGAAGGAAGAGTAAAAGCAATAAATACAAATGACAGATTTGTAATTGTAATGCCCAATCCTCAAGCAACATTGTGTCCACATGAATTGTATGTAAATAAAACACACAAAACGGTTGAAGCAAACTTAAGCCCATTATGGTAGAGAGAGTGCTCTGGTTGCTTGTGCCTTGCCGTTATAGATTTGGCACTTGCAGGAGATCTGCATGAGGGTAAGGGACCCATGACCGCCACCTCCCCTCATTGCCTTGCCTGGTCTAAAAATAAACAATGTGTAAAGTTAGAAAATATGCTAGAGCTATGAGGTAATTGAGGTTCTTTCTGAAAAATAAAGAACACTGGCCTCAACAAATGAGAAAATGTGATTGAATCTTTCTTGGCATGATGTTAGCAAGGAATTCTGGAATGATGAACATGGTACAGGTTGCACCTCCCAAAACTGGAATTCTCTGGTACAGGAACGTTCATGGTCCAGCCAGACCATGGATGTTCCTGGATTTGAGAACCCCAGTAGCTTAGTGGCAGGAGGATAATCCAGGAGTGTCCAGGCTGAAGCAATGGGATGGGGCAAGGGCCAGAGCTGGCAGCAGCCCCCAGCAAACTATGGCACTAGGACCAGGTTGGGGCAGCCTCTAGCAATGCAGGACTGGTCTGGCAACAGTCCGTGGCAGCACAAGGCCAGAGTCAAAGCCCACGGGCTGCCTTGAGGCAGAAGCCTAAGCCCTCAGCAGTCCAAGAAGAGCCAGAGCCAGCCCCATGGCAGCCCATGATAGCGCGGGACTGAAGCCTGTGGTGGCAGCAGTGGGGCCAGCAACCCAGCAGGCAGCCTGGCTGGGAATGGAGGTAGTGGAGGGGTCTGGCCCCTGGAGCTGGCAGAGTTGGCAGCTAGGGACTGTGGCAAGAAACCTTCTCTAGTCAGTCCAATTTCCTGGTTTGGGATCGGTCAGGCCTTGACGATGCCAGATCAGGGAGGTCCAACTTGTAGTGACAGAGTCATGACCTAAGTGATTTACAAGCCTAAGACTCATTTTCAAAAGTCATTTTAGGCCATTTTTAAGGTATGTAGGCACCTAATGATTTCATGGTGACATATCTAGATGCTTTTGAAAATCCCCCCACTCACCGAACTTTTAAAATCAGGCCCTTAGGAGCTGTAGTCTCACTGAAAGAATTGGGCAAAGATTCTAAAGGACTAGAGGTGCTTTGGGAAATTTACAAAATAAATACCTTGTTTAGTATTTAGGAATGCTAAATAAAAGTGGCAACAATAATAATCATAGAGGTGTAGTCCTGTGTCTGAATCTGGTACTTGTCCTGACTGCCTTCCTGGCCTTGGGTAAGTCATTAACATCTCTGCTTCACTTCCTCCATCTGGAAAATTTGGATGATACTCCTCAATTTGGATGATACTGCTCATCTCTGGGGAACATATGAAACTTAATTAGATACTTTGAAGATGAAAAAAGGAAAATGGAGAGGAAAAGTGGGTGAGGTGATATCTTTTATTGGCCCAACTTTCAAAAGCTTGTCTCTCACCATCAGAAGTTGAGCCAATAAAAGATATCACCTCTCCCACCTTGTCTCCCTAATACCCTGGGGCTGACACATTTATAACCACACTGCATACAACAATGGGAAAATGTTCATTTGTACTGTATTAATTATTTGCACATATAACACCTTTGATCTGAGCTTCTGCAAGAGACATGCAAGCATCGCAAAATTGACGTGAGGAAGGAAAATACAACATAGCCTTGTAGTAGATAGGCAAACTCAGACACAGCTGGATGCTGTCCCAGAAGTTTTGATACAGCTTGCTGCTTTAATCTAACCACCAGATGACACTGCCTCCCAATGTCCAGCTTCAATGGCACTTTCTGCTCAGTGCAAGATTTGAAATAAGCTCACAAAGATGGCAACTGCAGCAAGAAAGTAATTCTTTTCAGGATGGTCTCCACAATCACATTGTGCTTACAAAACCCATTTGCACCTCTGAATGCAAATTTTGAATTCTCAAGTATTATTATGTTCTAAGAGACGTCTCCGCTATTTGAAAATGCAGCCAAAAGTTTGTTTAAATAACTGTTCCCCCCCCCCACACACACACGTATTATACTGCACAGGACTTCTATATCTCTCGCACCCCCACTAAAACACCACCGCTGTGCCAGTCAGAATTAATATGAGATTTTCAGAAAGAAACTGGAACAAGAAAAAAAGTTTACCTCAATATTTTTGAAGATCTCTCCCCTTGCCCCCCCGCTCATCATTTTAATCCACATTAAAAAGCTTCCTGGCTTCTGCAAAGAATGGAAGTTCTTATCAACAGCCTTTGTGAAACTGATACAATTAGCAGGAGGGATGTATTTTAAATCAGAAAGAGATCACAGCTGAATGGAAGGGAAGCATACTTTTGGATGTATATATTTATTCAGCCAATTGATGTCAATTTAATACAACACCTTTTTAATAACAGGAAAACACAGTTCTATGTACATTTAGTCAGGTCTAAAATAATATATCAGCCTTCCCAAAATGTCTAAAAGGAGACTCCCCTTATGAAAAAGAAATGTAATGTATTTTACAGTCCTGTTCCCACATACTTTTGTAGACAGTATTCCATGCTGTTAGAGATACTAAAATAATATAGGATTGTTAAGGAAGGTCATAGCTGATGGAATGATTTGCTTTCATTTATTAGTTGCATTAATAATTCACTAAAGTGTATGCACATCCTCAGTATATATCTTTGGAATAACTTGTGCATGGAAACAATAAAAAAAAATCCATAAACTGGCTTCAGATAAAGTTAGGTCTCCACAAAGGCCGTCACGTTTTGGGCCCAATTTTTCCCACTAGGATGGGACTAGAATCACTCTGAGTGAAATTCCAAATGCAAGGTAACATGCAGTACAAATGCAAACCTGAGACTTTTACAGTCAACGTTTTAGTGGCCAATTTACTCAGAGCATTAACTAGGCTTGTTGAATCATTAGACCCTCCAGAGTGAAATTGCATGTTCTCTCCATGAAAACATAAACTTAACTTTAGTGCCATATTAGCTCTTAATAATAAGTCCATAATTCCATACCGTGCCACTTCTGTTTCCCTGTGCAGATGACATCTAGAAACAAGCGTGATGGGGGGAAAGCCCCCCCCCCAATCAACCGCCTGCATGATTAGAACTTAGATCAAAGAAGCGGAGCTATCACAACTTGCCAGCAACCCGTTTTTCTTGGCAAAAAGAGAGTCCCCACATTCAGAGCGCAAGCTAAGGCTCATGCTTAAAAACATACATCTCTCAATTCTGCCCATAACAGATTAGATTCGCCATGGGACTCCGCCACCCCCACCCTATATTCCTCCCCAAACTTACAATTGGAGGGATGCGTTAAGAAACGGGTGGGAGTCCTGCAAGTTTTCAGGACCCAGTTCCTACATCCAGGCAAACTTCGGGAAAAGTTGTTGCTGGCAGAAAGAAGCAGATTCCCAGAGTACAGTCTGAAAGTCGACGCAGCAACACACCCCTCAGCCAACTCAACTGCCCCTCTGGCTCGGAAGTTCTAGCAGTAAGAAATCCTGGTCAGAGAGTCCCTGGATGCTTCTCCTCCTCCCCCCCCCCTTGAATATGGGGCGCTATAGCTCTCACTTCAATTAGTTACCACCACGCATGGCAACATAGACATCCGGATTTTGATCGTTCCTTTGCACTCCCATTACTCTGCAGCAGGTTGCTACAAACGAGGTGCCAGAGACTTTAAATAACGTGGCTGGGCTGGGTGCACTGAGGCACACAAGGTTAGGGAACGTGTTAAACTAGATCTTGTCCTTCCTATTGAAAGTGCCACTCTGGATTTAAAGGAGGCACCAGAGAGGGGGTGAAACATGTCCGTAGTACTAAAGGGTCTTATCACTTGCACCCAGTCTTGATCAATATCCCTCCACCTTCCACTGACTCATACGCCTAGGTAGATTTCAAAGTCACAGTTTAGGGGGAGAGAGGGGGCGTCAACTTTCGCCCTGAGAAGTTACCTGGCTGCAAAAGCACCCCGCCAGCGCGCTCCCACGTTACCTGCTTTTGTGCCGGGTCTTTAGCAGGTTCCTGCCAAAGGGGGCCATGGCCCGAGCCGGGGTGTTCCTTTCTCCCCCTCTTGTCCCTCGCCTCCTTCCAGCTTGTTTGTTGTCCCAGCGCGTAGGTGGAAGTTGTGCAACGAGCTGCTAAGTTTGAACGACTGGTTTGCTGTTGCGGCTGCACCTTTGGAGTCCTGCCCAGCGTCGATCCTCAAGGAGGCGTTTATGAGCAGGAAAAGGGGGGGAAACTCACTTTCTATTGTGATGTGAAGTTATTTGCAGAACTTGATAAACTTCCAGCCTTGCCAATCCCCAAGGCACCGATCAGCACAGGGAATGGGGAGGGGGGGATTTGCGCGAGGCAAGAACACACAACAGCAGGAGTCCAACTTTCTCCGCCAGGTTCCAGCCACTTAAGGTCAAGTTGAGCAACGACACAAAAGCCATAATGAAGGGCAGGCAACAGCTATTCCACCAGGTCTAGGGCATAACAACGATCGCCTTACAGATCAGCCTTAGGAACAACCGGGTGAGGAAGGTGCCACATTAGGTTACCTCTCTGCCCCTTTCTGTACTTTCAGGCACACACGAAACTTTGCTAGGTGCAGCTAAAGCTGTAGCGACTTTGGTCTGCAAATCCTTACTCCGCCTGTGGCTTCAGAATCCTTTCCAAGGGCCTGGTGTTCAAAGCTGCTGATCACTCCAAATCTAGCTGACCCCAGTGAGAACTGGGGGTTGTCAGCACCTTGGCAAAGCAAACGCTAAAGGAAGGCGGTTAGAAAGGGAGCAAGTCTAGGAGACTAGCCAGGGACAATGAAACACAGCATTGCACGCTCTTGCAGGGTGTCCTTTTTTGGCTGGCTTTGTTAAAAGGGAAGTGAAGCAGTTCATGTTTGTTCCAAAAGCCCCGGCATTAGCGCACAAAGCGGATTAGTAATCAAGCGTTGAAAGGGAAAACATGAGTCCCGTTGACTTCAGAGGGCTCAGGATTACAGAGCAGAAAGGCAGCCCCAAAGCAGAGAGGAGAATAGGGAACTGCTGCTGGAAGTTATTGGAGGCAGGGGAGAATGAACTTTTGCCCTGTAACTTGAACAGTTATTTGCACCTTTTTAGAATAGCGAAAAATGTTTCCATTCTGATTTCGTTGCATTTTATATTCACTTGTTTACTCCAGTAAACAAGCTGCCGATGCAGCAGCATCCTGAATTTAGCTCTGTTCCACCTCTGTGGGTGTCTGTATGAAACCGCAGGGTAACGAGGACCAGGCGAGGGGGCTTTATATAAAAGGGACTTTGTTATTTTGGACATTAGAATAGAATACCGCCTTTCCCTCAGCCTGCAGTGAACAAAGCTAGAGCCCATTCCATGGGTTACCTATTACTGGCAGCTCTGGGAATGCCCCCACATACTTTCAGTTCAATCCCACGTCTGTAATCTCCCTGAGCTGTGACTACAAAGAGAGGAACTGGAGTTGAGCCACAGCTTGTTTGGGTGGGTTAGCACATACACCGGGGGAAAAAAATCCCTCAGATTCCTGTGGCTGCTGCCAAGGGATGTTTCATGAAGCAGGATCTACTTTGAGTGATATGTGCCTGATCTGAAATCAACGGGAGTCTTTCCACTGACTTTGGGTCAGGATTTATGTACCCTGGGTGGGGATTTCCTCACCTTTAAACGGGGGCAAAACATTTTCAACACCCTGAAATGTCTACAAGGCAATTTTGGCACAGAATTGCTATTCCACTCTGGAGAATTTCTCAGAGTAAAGTAAGTATTAAAATAAAGTGGTGAGGTTTCCCCCTTTGCCTTTCCCTTGTTGGCAAATCTAAAATTTAGAAGCTTTATTGGCTGCATACTACAATGTTAAGAATTCTAATATAGCTCACTTACTTTTCTCCTCATTACAAAGATAAATGGGAATTGGGCAACATATACAGATGTTCTTACACTTCCCAATTAATAGCTGTCACCTCACAGTATTAATTGGTTGTAACTATGTAAAGTACAGCATGATGTATAGTGGCTTACTTGTCCCTTTTTTTACCTGCAGTTACCAGGTAAATTTAATCATCTGGATGGGCCTCAGGAAACTTAATGCTGTTATGCAAACAAATGACAAAGCAGTTTAAAAAAATAAATCTTCAGACTAAATTTTTACACACATATACACACCTTATTGTTCAAACCTCTAAAGTTTCCATTTTCATTTTAATAGTATGAGTTCTAGGAAAGACTCCTTCAATAACAACTGTACAATTCCATCCAAGTTTGAAACAATATACATTACCCTCTGCACACTTTCAGAAATGAGATTGAAAACATTTGTCTAGTTTACTTTAGAGAAGAGACAAATAAGAAGGGTCATGGTACGTATACAAAGCAAGTTTCAATTGACTATTTCTATAATGCACAAAGAGGGAACATACAATGAATCTGAAAGGAAACAAATTTCAAACTGATAAAAGGACATCGTTTTCTCACACAAAACACAATTAACCCAGAGAACTCATTGTCACAAGATAACACTGAATCCAAAAAGCATAACAGGATAATTTTTTAAAAAAATAGACCTTTATATCAATAACATAGCTGTAATGTAGTGCTTTTCTTCATTAGGTCTCAAAATAGTTTACAAAGAAGAGAAATATTGTTCCCATTTCACAGAAGAATATCTAAAATGATAATATTTGAAGAGAGTTCTGAAAGGGACTTAAAAATCTCATGTGCAAGAGCATAACCAACCTGTGGACAGGCAAGAGAGACTGGTCCTTTGGAGGATCGGGTGCAGGGAGGTCAGCATGTGGGGGTACCCTATTTAGCAATTAAAATATTGGTGAGTACAGAGAGGGGCAATGCACCTCCCCCATGCTACTACAAGTCCATATGCCAATGGGGTTAGGGAGATCTGGCCAATTTAAAGGGTCCTGAGGCAGGCTCCCTGCCCATCCTCATTCCTCACCACTTTCAGAAGTGGCCAGCACATCCCTGTAGCCCATGGGAGATGCAAGGGATCTCCATACACTGCCCCCACCCTCAGCACTGACTCCGCAGTTCCTATTGGCTGGGATCTGCAGCCAATGGAAGCTGTGGGGGTGATACCTGTGGGCAGTGTCCTGAGGAGACCCCATCACCCACTCCCTGCTCAGGATCCACTGCCAGAAGAGTGTGCCAGTCACCTTGGGGAGCTGCCTGAGGGAAGTACTGACCTCCAACCTCCTCCTGCACCCTAACTGCCTGCCCCAGCCAAAAGCCCCAATCTCTGCTGAAGCCCATACCAACCTCTCTCCCGGAGGCCACACTACCTGCCACACCCAATTTTCTTCATAGAGCCTGATTCCTCACTCCCTCCTGCACCCAAACCTCTTTTCAAAGCATGCGACCCCAACAACCTGCCCCATCCTGGTGAAATGAGGGTGAGGGCAAGCAAGTGATGAAGGGAGTGGGGAGGAAGTGAGCAGGGGCAGGGCCTCATGGAAGGGGCAGAAGATAGGTCGATTGTGTTTGGGTTTGCATGATTAGATAGTTGGCAACCGTATCAGGCAGGCATATGGAAGCCTGGCCAAAAAGCGCACCCAGCAACAAAGCTGACAGTCTGATGGACACCCAGCAGTGAGAATCACTACAGGCCATGCAGGCAACATGGAGCACCCTTTGACTATTCTGTCCTGGGGCCCAGAACTGCTGTCAGTGGACCTGAACACCGAGCACTGTTAAGAGTCAGTGTACTGAACTAGATGGTCTGGAATATTTGTTGCAGAGGGGTAGCTGAGTTAGTCTGTAACTGGAAAAACTTAAAATACAATGAATAGTCTAGCAGCACCTTAAAGATTAACAAAACATGTAGATGGTATGATGAGCTTTCGTGGATAGAACCCACTTCTTCGGTGTCCCTCATGAGCAGGGCTCGCCAAACTGCGGCAAGCCCCGCTCACCAGCCGCACTGTCCAGTGATCTGCGCATGCACAGATCGCCCGAACCCAGCCATAGACGAGTAGATTGCATTATTTGTCGAGCCCTACTCATGAGTCCCTTACCCACTCCTGGAAAATGATGTGCCCTGAAAGGAAGCCTTAATTAAAAACACTGAGGAGCGTTCTTCAAAGACCAGGTATTGAAGAAAAGGAGTTAGGAGATCTGGGTTTTATTTCCATCTCTGCTAGAATGCTTTGGGACCCTGTTCCAGCAGTAGTTTGGGAAGATCAACCAGCATCTTATCAAGTGCAGAGCTTGCCAATTGTATGTGCAAATTAACTAAATAACTGCTGCACCTATCTACAATTAGTTGAAGACTAAACATTTAGGAAAGAAAGCAATAGAGTGAGGAGCATTTTAATGACATTAAGAGAAGGAGAATTTAGGATGATTATCAGGAATACTTTCCTGACTCTAAGATCCTGTTGATTCTAATAGGCCTATCCATGGTAATAAGCACAGCATCCAGAAATAAGGGCCAGATCCTAAAGGTGGTGCATACCCAGAATCCACTGAAATCAAAGTGAGCTAAGTGTCCATAACACTTTCAGGGATCTGGCCCAGATCATCTGGGCCTAGGTTTTAGGAGATTTATAAACTTTTAACTTTTCAAAAGCAGTGGCGGAGCAATATCACTTAGGATATTAAAGGTAAACATTTCGAAAGCACCCAAATCATGGAGGAGTCTGACTCTTATGGCAAGTTAATGTCAGTTAGGTCAGGCTTATACTGCAAACCTACATCTGCATAACTATGTAGCTCAGAGTATGAAAACTCCACAACCCTGAGTAATTCAGTCTTAACTCCCAGGGTAACTAGAAAGGGCTGTGCCGATGGAGGAGCTTCTCCTATGACACCTCTCGCAGAGGTGGATCAATTACACCTAGGCTGTGTCTACACTGGCAAGGTTTTTCCAGAAAATCATCTGATTTTCCGGGAAAACTTATCAGCTACCTACACTGGCCGCTTGAATTTCCGGAAAAGCACGGACGATCTAATGTAAAATCATCAGTGCTTTTCCGGAAAAACTATGCTGCTCCCGTTTGGGCAAAAGGGCCAGTGTAGACAGCTCAGATTTGTTTTGCGCAAAAAAGCGTCTAGATTGGCACGGACGCTTTTCCGCAAAAAGTGGCGATCAGAGCTTTTTTGCAGAAAAGCGCGTCTAGATTGGCCACGGACACTTTTCCGCAAAAAGTGCTTTTCCAGAAAAGCGTCCTGCCAATCTAGACGTGCTTTTCTGAAAATGCTTTTAACAGAAAACTTTTCCGTTAAAAGCATTTCCGGAAAATCATGCCAGTGTAGACGTAGCCCTACAGAAGAAGCTCCCCTGTTGGTATGGTGATATCTTCATTGAAGTTATATAGGGGTACAGCTGCACTGGTGTAGACCCCCCTTAATTTTGGGATAATCTTTTGAAAAGTGACTAAGGGCTTGTCTACATTACCACTTTACTGTGCTGTAACTTTCTCCCTCGGAGGTGTGAAAAAACACCCCGCTTAAGCACAGCAAGTTACAGCACTGAAAAGCGCCTCTGTAAACAGGCTCCCAGCACTGTTAGCTACTCCTCTTGTGGAGGTGGCTCACCTAGAGCACTAGGAGAGTGCTCTTCCCGCATTGGTGCAGGGAACACGCTGCCACATTAAAGTGCTGCTGCAGCTGCACTTTAAACTAAGAAGTGTAGACAAAGTGTAAGTCACCAGCACCTAACTAGAGTAGGCAAATCACTAGAAAATATGCTGTAGGGATCAATTCTTCACTGATATGGAGATGGACTAGAGATGACCTTTTCAGTCTTGTCAGTCTCCAGCTTCTGTGTCTTCAGTTGTATGTGGTGCTACATACTTTGCTTTATCCTCTTCCGAAAGTCAGATGTTCAATAGAAGAAATCTATTTTTCGGGTATTATGAGAGACAGAAATGCCCTTGGCTGTGCTGTTTTCTACTGACCTCGAAACTTT